CCTCGGAATAGTCAGACTCAGACGTTTAGGCGAGATTCAAGCTAGAAACCAGCAAAGCTCCACTAGATGCAGGCAACCAACTGAGTGGAAGTGGTATGGCCCCAATGCCGTTTAGCGTCACCTGCGCGTACAGGTGTTGGACTGCTCTTATCCAGAAAGTTATTTTTGATATGGAGTTCAACTGGAAATCAAGATGAGAAGGGCGGGTAAATGAAATCACAAAGGAGCCCTTCTACCTACTTCGAGTGATGCTGAGACTTTAGCCGGCTGCTCGTTTGGTTCCGGAAGTAGGGAGTATTCAATATTCATTCAAGCTAGAAAATGACACGAAACAGCTATACCGAGAAAAAGGTATCATCGGTTTTGCAAAATGGTGAGAGACCTTGAAATTGTCTTACTGAAAACTCAAATTTCGGCCGGCATGCAAGCTAGAAGCGAGCAAGAGAGGTGATGATCGTGGCTGCTCTCTTTTCTGAATGCGGGAAAGGTTACCCGGTTTTGCTTTCATTTTGGAAACGCCGCACGCTGATGGAATGCAGGCCGATCCACCAGGTGGCACGGCATTGCTGCACTAAGCAATTTAAGGAACATTTCAGCAGTAGTGAATCAGCATCACTTTTGCGCACTGAGCCACAAGAACAACGAGCAGCACGAACTCATTCTCTGTCGAGTTTTGCGTGGAATTCGCCACTCCAGATATTTACAACAGAGGACAACTTGCAATAGACGAAGGACACTGGCGTAGAATGGGGCGACCTGCAGCACATGCTTCGATGCTCCTACAAATTACAAACTTTTTCCTAACCAGCGCCGACTTGAGCCGTTGTACAGGCTAGTGGTGACGCAATAAGTTAAATTCACATATCATTGCATGGGTCGTAGCACACGCTCATGCCCTGAGATTCTCCATTATTCAACTGGCGGATATTGGGACCATATGGGGTCCAAAAAAAATTTAATTTCGATTTCGCATAATCATACCGCACCACACATTTGATTCAAAGCTCGCCTTCACCTTATAAGGCTGCATGTGCTTTGTTGACGCTGAGTACAGCACCGTATAGGCACCAGTAGTCCCACGGCAAAACCTGCAAGCCTTGAGAGAGCAGCAATACCCGCAACATAGCGAGCGACGAGCTACCACGATCTCTCCTTAAAGTGCAGGAAAGAAAGCTTATTCGTTCAGCAAAGATCCACAATCATCTACGCGAGCAGGTGAATGTGCAGATAACGATGGATGGCATTTTCGATCACAACTTTCAAACAAAACCCTCAGGCTACTCGTGTCTGTCATTTTGAAAAGAGGCGGACCCTCGTTCATATCTGCAGCTGTTCCATTTTCAAACACAAGATGGAAAGGTGGGCACTTTATTGAGTGTCTTGCTGTCCTGAAACAGCCTTACAAATCTTGCATCTCGACGTCTCTCCACAGATATCACAGGAACCCGGTACTGTCCTAATTCCAATTGTCTTGGCAATATGCACTTCTGCCTGGCAACATTAAAACAGTGAGAAGTGGATAAATGGCTGTGGCGACTCATGACAATGGTGCTTATAGCAGGAAGCTGATCCTACGTTAGATATTTTAAAGGCATCGGTTTCATCGGCCCGAAATTGGAGAGTAGAAGGAACAACACATGCATACTGGCTTAAGAGATACTGTTTTGAATATCCATACTTTGATTTTCATCAATTGTTCCTCTTTCTTAAAGCCACAACTTCTCCTAAAGAACCGTCTTCATCGGCGGTCGGCACAGTCGAGCATCATTGACAGGGAGGGTGGAGGGGGGCTGCGGCAGAAATGGGAAGAGTTGAAACTTGCGAAACTTGTTGAATTTCTCTCTTCTTCTTCCATTTCTAGTTCTTCCCTGCATCAGTGCTCCCATTTCAACGGCTTAACATGCAGCGAGCACCCCCTTGAGCATCAGCCGCCAACATCGGCTGCTGCCTTGTTTGCGTCCTTCTGTTGCCCTCTGTTACTGCTGCCCGCGTGGGAATGCTTGGGCGTTCGCGAGTTGAAAGATGTGGGGCCTTTTGGAGCCTCTGCGGCTCCTTAGGGAAAGCTGCCGACGCCTGGCCGTTCGCTGACCTCAGCAGACCCAGGGCGGCTCCGCTAGGTTGTGCACGTTTGCAACTGCATCAGCGCCGCTGGCTCCACCACGATCCATCTCCCTCTTCTTCATCTCTCCAAAGGGAGACCAGGGAGGGAGCAGGAGTTCCCCCCTCTGGAAACAAATCTGTAGCAGGCCCCCGACTTGAATGGCCTGCAGACATAGTGGAAAGGGCTCGCCGCGAGCTCTCAAAAGGCAGCAATGATCGTATATCTATGCTGCGTGATCGGCATGCGGGAGAGGTGTGCCTCTCCGAACCCAGCAGCTTCATCTCGAGCTCTGAAATGCAGCAGCAGCTGCAGGCCAACGATCTGCGAGCTTTCTGGCGCCGTCTGAGGCGCGCCATTTCTCAGCCACTTTCGGGAGCAGCAGCTGTAGCAGACCCCTCTTTTGGGGCTCTTCAGGGGGCCCCCAGGGGTACAGCTTCAGCTCCAATTGTATACAAGCGTTATATGGACGGGATGACAGCAGCGCACCACTACCCGTCCCGTCTACTGCCCTCCAACCAGGCGACAAAACTCCCTCCACTTTTTTTTGTTACTCCATTTGCATTGCAGGAGGATGCAGATCCATCTGCACAAACGCAAGAACTGCGACTGAGGGAAAGGGTGCTTCGAGCCACCAGCCCAGGGAAAATGCTGCCGAAGATATCGGTGGGTCTTTATCAGTTTCTCTCCTTTGCATTTTGACTGCAGCTTTGTGGAGATGTTCAGCTGTTTGTAGGGCTGCAAGGGAGTGACCAGTGGTCCTTGTGTTGAGGTTTGTATGCTGCAGGGGAGTTACCAGTGGACTTTGTGTTGAGGTTTGTATGCGTGCAGCTGGCGGAGCGTTTGTATGGCCGCGTTTCTCTTCTGTTTCTGTTTGATGTGGGAGGGCAGCATTCACAGTTATCCGATGTTGCTTCGTGGGTGCGCCGTCTGGAGAGTTACAGTTCGTTCATTTCCTCCGTGTACGGCCCCGCGTTTGCTTATCCTGCTGCTAACGCTGCCTCTCCTGCTCCTGCTGCTGTTGCTGGTGGTTCGCTGCCGCTGGGTTTGCGGTTGCTGCACCAGCAGCTTCCTGGCTTTGGCTTGAGCGCAGACGGAAGGGGCCCTGAGTTGGCGAGCCTACAGTACATTTGTATTGATCATGCACCCTTCTGGTTACGGTCTTTAGCTCTTCGTAATATGGAGTCTTTGACGCCTGCCTTTCGTCCGCTTTCTCCCTTCCATTCATTTCCTCACCGCCTCCTTAGAGCAGCTCGCGTGCAGGAGGGGCCTCAAAGGGATGTGGGGGGGCCCCCATTGTTGGGGGAGAGTCCGCTGGGGGGCCCCCAGGGCCGTCGTGAAGGTGCGTTGCGGCTCCTGGCTGAGGAGTACGAACACCTTCGTTCCTTGATTTGCAGCAGCATCCCTGGGAGTTCTCTCATTGGTTCTTTTTTGGGGTACAGCGGCCGGTGGGGGAAGGAAGAGGTGGGGGCTTTCAAGAGGAAAGAAAGGGAAAAGTTTGTCTCTGTCTTGCTGATAGACAAAGCAGCTCGAGTCCGCTGGCACGCCACAGGCAGCCCCACGGAAGAGGCGGTGCTGCTGCTGCTGTGAGCAAACCCCATGAAGATAGAGGAAGACAGAGAGATGCAGCATTAAGACGCAATCTAAACCCTAACCCTTCTCTACAACTCCCTACGCCAACCCCTAATCCCTGCTCCCTGTGGCTGTCTTCATCTTGCATATTCCTCTTCTTTTGCCGGATATTCTGTGTGCTGCGCAGCTCAGGGCTCAAAACCCTTCTTGCCGAGAACATCCACGCTACCACCTGCGTCCCCGGTGTACACTTGTAGCAGCAGCAACAGATGTCGCTACTACAGCAGCATCTGTTGCAAACAGCAACCTACTGCTTACTGCTGCTGCAGCAGTAGCGACAGGTGGTGCTGCTGCAACTGCGAGTAAATAGCAGCACCGCAACCGGCGCCAGAAAAAGCATCGGCAACAGCATCAGCAAAGAAACAAGGAAGCGTGTGCACGATCACCTCTGCAGCTCCCCTTTGTGCCCGAGGTGAGACTACATGCAAGCACAGTTTGAAAAAAAAAGAATCTGTACAGCCAGTAAAAAGAGCAACGGCAGCTCTTGCTGCTGCTGCTGAAGCAGCTCTGCTGCGCGCCGTACAAAAGCTGCTGCAGCAGAATCCTACTCCAGCTGCAGCAGCAGCAGGAGTTTCCATCACATTTCGTCCTTGTGTGTGCAAAACAACGTCAGCAAATGCGTGCGCGCTGCTGAGTATAGACAGCAGTGCTTCAAACTTTGCAGCAGCTGCAGCAGCGGCTGCATCTGTAGCGGCTGCAATGCAAGGATGCAGCATTGCATGAAGAACATTTCATTATTAAACAGTTAACGAAGGGAGATAGAGGAAATAGGCATTGTGGTGACGCCTTTGTGCAGCGCTGTATGCTGCGTGTTGTACTCTGTCTATACGGAGAGAGACATAGAAAAATAAAAACCCTAGGGGCGTTTACTTGAGTATCTGCATTATATTGTACATAATTATGTATATATTTATTATACACTTTCCCTGAAAGTGAAGAATAGTAAGACTGCACCAACTAACAGCACAATGCAGCATCATTGGCGCGCTGCAGCAGCAGAGGCCAGACAAGGCGACCTGCTGAGCACACCAACAGCTGCAGCAGCAGCAGCGTCAGCCAAGCTGGAGAGTCTTCTTCTCCGGGGGCTTCTCCCTTCATCTCCGCTGCAGTAGCAGCAGCAACTGTTCCTGCTGCTGCTGCTGCCGTGGCAGTGCGGGCCGCAGGAGTTTGCAGCAACCGCAGCAGGGCTCTCAGCAGCAGCTGTCGCTCCTCGTGAGCACCGACACCCACTAAGTTTTCAAAAACAGCCAGCAAGGCCCCTCCAAATCCTTCTAGAACAGCGGCGATACACTCCCAATAGGCTGCCTCGGCTGCTGCTCCTGCTGCTTTTGCTGCTGCTCCCGCTGTTGGTAGTTCTGATCCTTCTGCTGGTGTTGCTCCCTCTGGTGCTACCGCTGCTGGCAGCTGCTTGTCCCCTTCGGGGCCATCGGATTGCCCTGCGGGGTCGGCGCCTCTTGAAGGAGGTCCTTGCGCTGGGCCAGGTGCAGAACAAGCATCATCGTCAGTAGCAGCCGCAGCAGCAGCACCTGCTGCTGGTGTTGCTGCCAGTGCAGGCTCGACGGTGTCGGAACAGAGGCCAAGGGCTACAGACGGTCCCCCTGAAGGGCCTCCGTTGATAGGAGAGATGCTAGGGGCCCCAGCAGCAGCAGCAGCTGGGGCAGCAGCAGCGGTAGCAGGCGTTTGATGTGTTTGGCGAGTGCGCGCATGGGGGGAAGCACAGCTGTTATCCGCAGCAGCAGCAATGCGGCTTGATACCGCAGCAACGACGTGGGAAGTCTTGCCCCCGAGGCGTGCTGCGTTGGCGCCTGCTGCAGCAGCATGCTGCAGGAGCAGCTGCAGCACAGGCTGAGCTGCAGCAGCAACACGAATTGACAGGGCTGGGCGACGTGGAGCACCATGAAGCGAAAAGAGATGCGACAAGCACTGCATAAGACACGCCTCAGCATCGCAACAGCAGCTGTTGCTGCCAGCAGAGCCACAACAGCAGTCTCCCCGTTGCTGCTGTTGCTGCAGCTGGGAATAAACCTCAGGTAGCGTTTCGCTGCTGCTGCCGTCGCTACTGTCTGGATTTTGAGTAAGCAAAGATATGACATTCGGCGCTGCACAAGCAGCACCGGCAGCAGCAGCATCACGCGAAATGTCCTTTGCTGCGATATTGCTGCTGCACTGCTGCTTCTGATCCTTTCGAATGGTTTGGGGGGATCGGCCGCCTCCAGGCAGGAACTCCTCCAGGCTCCGCTGAGTCGACATTGGGGACCTCCCACGATCAGCAGCAGCAGCAGCAGCAGCAGCAGCAGCAGGTACTCCGGCTGCTGAACGTCTCCTCTTCCTGCTGCTCTGCGAACCCTTAATGCTGCGGTTGCTGGCATCTGCTGTCTGCATGCGTTTACCTCTGTCTATCCTTGGGGTTTTCAAAAGGGGTGTTGAGGCCTGACTATCAGGTGTACGCGCCCCCCAATGCTGCTGCTGTTGCTGTTGCTGCTGCTGCTGCTGTTGCTGCTGCTGCTGGTCCTCGTGCAGCGAATGGCTTCTGTCTCGACTTCGGAGGCGCTTCTGAGGGGTTCCCGGCAGCCCGTCGCAGCCGCGCAGACTGTCAACAGCAGCAGCAGCAGCAGCAGCAACAACAGCAGCTGTGCTGCTGGCCCTACTTCGGCCTGAAGCTGCCCTTAGCGGTTTGTCTGTCTCTTTCTTGCTGCTGCTGTCGCTGCTGTCGCTCGCAGTAATAAAGCAGCAATCCATGGGTGGGGAAGATGCTTTGGGGGCCGTTGGCGCTGCTTTTTCCTGCTGCATACGCTGCTGCTGCTGCTGTTGCTTCGTCTGCTGTTCCTGCTCCACCGGCTGTTGCTGCTGTGGGTGTTGCGACGGTGACCTATCCTGCGACTCTTGGATTGTATCTATGACTATGCAGCAGGGCTCCAGCGTGTTGCTGCAGCTTTTGCTGCTGCTGCTGCTGCTGGTGCCTTTGCTGCTGCTGCTGGCCCCTCTGGTGCTGCCGCTGCTGCTGTTGCTGTTCTTGAAGGCAACATCTAAGATGCTGCGCTGCAGATGCTCCTGCTGCCGCCGCAGCGCCTCTTCCTGCTGCTGTGTTCGCAACTGCTGCAGCACCAGCGTGATGCCGCGGTAGTCTTCTAGTGGACATATACTGCAAGCAATTGAAGAGACCCCAGAGCAGCAACAGCATCTGTATACGCGCTAAGGCAGCAAGAATGTCGCTTCCACAGCACCACCAGCAGCAGGAAAAGCGGTAGCAGCACAACAGAAGCAACAGCAATAGCGGTAGCAGCACGACAGCAGCAGCAGCAGCGCACCCGCTAAGACTCTCTCTCCACAGCGCTTGAAGTTCCTCGTACAGATCTTCTGCCGATTGCACCCCAAATACAATACTCCTATTTTTGTTGCTGCTGTTGCTGTTGCTGCTGTTGCTTCTGCTGCTGCCAACGACACGTGAACCCCTCGCCGAATCACACAATCCGCAGCCCAGAAATTTGGTGGTCTTGATGGGAGCTCCTGGCTGTCTGTACAACAGCTGCAAAAACAGCAGCAGCAAAAGCGGCAACAGCAACAAGAGCAGCAGCAACAGCAAAAGCAGCAGCAGCAACAGCAGCAAAGGCAGCATCGTGACAGCGTAAGCACATGCAGATTCTCAGCCCTAACCCCCCGTGCAACCCTATTCATCATTTGGTGTCATTTCAGCTGCGTGGGTTTAGGGTTTGCTGCTTGCCTTTGCAGATATCTTTGCGGTGTACAGACAGCTGGATTTGAGTCTCTTTTCACCTTCCGCTGCAATCTGCTGCAGGAGACAAAGGAGATCGGCTTGCTGCTGAAGGCGAATACCCCAATTGACAGATATACTAAGGGAACCTTTAGATGGCAAGCTGCTAACTATTCCAGCCCCAGCAGGGGCAGCAGCAGCTTCCGCTGCTGCTGCTGCCGCACCTGCTGCTCCTGCAGCAGCAGGAGCGGCAGTGAGATGAGATGGGATCGGGCGCACGTCTACCCCGTGGCAAAGCCACCACAGCTGGGCCCCTCTCTTGCGGCCTGCATGCAAACAGCAGCAGCAGCAGCAGCAGAGCAGCAACAACCTAACGGCATTCCATGGTTTCTCATTTTTAAAACCCTTGCTGCTGCATCTGCTGCTGAACTTTGATGCGTGGGGCTGGTTAGTGCATGCAAACCCAGGGCTGATTGCAGCAGCAGCAGCGACTCCTCGCCCTTCATCTGAACGTCCCAGCATGTTTTAGGTGATGCTGCTCGTGCAGCAGCAGCAGAAGCAGCAGCAGCAATTTTAGATGCCACCGCTGGCCCCACGCCTGGAAGCTCACGCAGACGGAGGGGCCCCACAAAGGCGGCTGCATTTGCTGCTCCACCCTTCACCACGCATACACCCTCGCGCTGCACTACTGCGGCTGCTGCGGCTGCTGCTACTGCTGCTACTGCTTTCTGCTTCCTTGGAGCTGCTGCTGCACCCGCAGCAGCACCAGATGGCTTTGCTGCTGCAGTTGCCAGCTTTGCTAAGAGGCAATTGCTGCCAGCGCCCACAGAGGCCGTGCAACCTGTTATTTGTATTATCGCTTTCCTCAAAGCCACGCACACATCTGCAACAATTGCAGCCTCAGTCACCTCCCTGCTGCTGTTGCTGCTGCAATTGGTGTTGCTGCTGCTGCTAGCACTGCTACTGTCGGGGGTGGTTAAGTTAGTGCTGCGGCTGGCGATCGTCTGCGACGAGCTGCTACTGCTGCCGCTACTACTGCTGCTACTGCTGATGCTGCTGCTACTACTGCTGCTGATGCTGCTGCTGATGCTGCTGCTGCTACTGCTGCAGGCGAGCTGCTCAGGAAGGGCCTCCTGCGTGTGGGGTAGCAGCGGGAAGCAGATTTGAATGAACGTCTGCAGCGTAAACAAACACACAGCCTACGCCCCAGCTGATAAGCCTCCTTTGATGTCATTGTCATTGCTGCTGCTGCTGCTGATGCTTCTTCTACTGCTGCTGATGCTGCTTTTGCTGCTGTCAATCTGCTGCCGCGTCAGCCATCCCCCTCAGCTGACTCCTCAATGAGAAACTTTCAGCGCCAGTTCCTAACCCTAGAACACGAAGAGGGTTTACGAGGGTTTAATAGAGTTAATGAGGGCTTATGAGGGTTTATGAGGGCCGCATGAATCTAGGGTTTACGAGGGTTTAGGGGTGCGAATGTTTGCGAGTGTTTGTGAGGGTCTATGAGGGCTTATGGGTTGTGTGGAGGTGTACGACAGTTTACTAGGGTTTAGGTTTATGTGCGTCTATGAGGGTTTATGAGGGTTTATGAATTGTATGGGGGTGTAGGAAAGTTAATTAGGGTTTAGAGTTGCGCGTGTTTGCGAGGGTTTACATTTTACGATTGTTTATGAGGGTTTACGAGCTGTATGGGGGAGGAGGACGGTTTAGAGTTAAGTGTTTCTATAGTGCCTGTCTTTTACTTCATCACAAGAAAGGGGTTTAATTCGATGAGAGAGGCGAAGTGCTGCTTCAAAGAGTCCTGAGCTGGCAGCTTCTATAGCAGCAAAGTCGTACGGAAGCAGCAGCAACTCAGGACACAGCTGCAGCGCAGAACGAAGCCACATGCCTTTGCATACACCCTGCTGGCGAGCCACGTAGTTGCAGCTTGCAATCTCCGAGGTACTCCCCCCAGCATGCGCTGCTGCTGCTGCTGCTCCTGCTGCAGCGCCTGCTGTTGCTGCACCTGCTGCGCGGATATATCGCACACATACACAAACCCAAGCCAACAGCCTCAAAGACACCAATAAAAAAACAAAGGACAAACAATGGCAACACGTTCCAAGCAGCAGCTGCAGCAGCAGCATGCACGACACCCGCTGCTGCTGCTGCTGCAGACGCTACAAACGCACGACCAAGTGAGGTGGCAGCAGCAGCAGCAGCAGCAGCAAGTCCCATGGCCACACTGTTCGGACAACTTACATGGAAAGGCTGCTGCTCCTTGGGACCCGCGGGAGTGACAAACTGCAACCTACAGCAGCAGCAACAGCAGCAGCATGAACAGCACCGATCACTGTGTAACAGCAGCAGCAATAGCAGCACCAATAGCAGCAACAACTGCAGCAGCGTGAACAGCAGCGTTCTCTGCAAGCTTTCCAGAGGTGTTAGAATGACCGGCTTTGCTGCAGTGTCCCGTGAGACTCAGAAGGCATGTTATTCGTGGTCATGCGTCACAGCAACAGCAGCAGCAGCAGCAGCAACAGCAGTTGTGGGTCGGGTCTGCACCGGTTTGTCTTTTAAGTGGGGATGCTTGAGGAGGGCCACAGAGACGAAGAAGGCATCGAAATCAACATGTATGATCCACCGCCCTGCTGCTGTTGCAGAGAGTGTTGCTGCTCCAGGGGGCGTTCCTGCTGCTGCTGCTGTTGTTGGTGCTGCGGGATTGGGAGACCGCAGAAGCAATGGGGAATGAGTAGCAGCAGCAGCAGCAGCAACATCACTGTCGTGAGGCAGCGTTAGGTTGAGAGGCAGCAGAAAGGGCTGCAGCGAATCGCTCTTAACGGATGCATCCCTCCACGGAAGCGCAACCTGCCGACTGCTGCTGCTGCTGCTGCTGTTGCTGCTGAGGAGACGAGTGAGCATAGCAGCACAGCGGTTCTGCCACACCCCAATGAAGTGGAGCCGTGAATGCTCAAAGAAAGAGGAGACAAAGTCGGGCTGTCTGCAGTCGACAACAGCCCTTCTCTTTCCTCCTGCTGCTGCTGCTGGTGCTGCTGCTGCTGTTGCTGCTGCTGCTGGTGCTGCTGCTGCTGTTGCTGCTGCTGCTTTTGGTGCTGCTGCTGCTGTTGCTGCTGCTGCTTTTGGTGCTGCTGCTGCTGTTCTTGCTCCTGCTGTTCCTGCCCGTAGCAGTGCGGTCTGCTCTGCTGGCTCAGAGGTAGCGGATGCTGCTGCTGCCGGCGTGACTTTGACTGGCAATGCACTTGCTGCTGCTGCTGCTGCTGTTGCTTCTGCTGTTGCTGCTGTTGCTACTGTGCCTTCAGGTGTTGCTGGAGGACTCTCCACAATGCAAACAGCAGATTCGGGCGTAGATAAAACTTCGGTAGTTGCTGCTCTTTCTGCTGCTGCCTCGGTTGCATCTACTACACCACTATACTCTGCTGCAGCAGCAGCAGGTTCTGCTGCTGCCGCTGCTGCTGTCACGGGAGCAGCACCACTACGTGGATACGGGGACCCGACTGCCTGTCTTTTGTTTGAGTGGAAATGTTGCTCTTCTTGCTGCTGCTGTTGCTGTTGCTGCTGCCACTGTTGTTGCTGTTGCTGTCGCCGTTGCTGCTGCTGTTGCTGGGGCGGCTTGCTGCTAGAGCGAAGCTCTGCTGTGTCGCAATCATCTTCAGTAGCACAATCAGAAGACGCAGACGATCCTGCAACAACAGCGCCTGCTGCAGCAGCAGCAGAAACAGCCGCAGCAGGCGCTGCGGCAGCAGCAGCAGGTTCTGGTGAACGTGTACTTTGTCTTTCTCGGTTCTGTGCATGCGTGGAGGTGTTGTTTAAAGAAGTCTGTCGCTGTTTCAAAGGAAGTGGGGCCCCTGCTGCCGAAGAGGGGGCCCCTTGCTGCAGGCGGTGGGACCCCCCTGGTGGTGCTGCTGCTGCAGGTACCCAGCGCCGCAGCAGCATCTGGCTGTTAAGCTGCAGCCCCTTTGGCTTGAATAGAGAAGGAGACAACAGGCGGCCAGAGTCAATTGAAGAAAAGACCCAACAACACCGGACGACTACATAACTCCGTGCAGTACCACCTCGGTCTCTGCAGCAATAGCACCCAGCAACAGCAGCAGCAAAAGCAGCAGCAGCAGCAGACAGAAATGCCGCAGTTTCATACCCAGTTGTTCTTCAGGGAGGTAAATACAAGGCGCACGCAAATTCAGCAACAGCAGCAGCAGCAGCAGCAACAGCAGAAAGAGCGAGAGCCGCAGCAGCAGCAATAGCAAGAGCACCATTAGCGTCAGCAGCAGCAGCAGCACCACCACCACCACCACCAGCAACAGCACTAGCGACAGCAGCACCAGCAACAACACTAGCAACCCCAGCACTCGCAGCAGCAACACTAGCAGCAGCAACACTAGCAGCAGCAACACTAGCAGCAGCGGCAGCAGCAGCAGCAGCAACAGGACATATGCTGTGTAGTGTCTATACACCTGAGTTTTCTCCATTTTTGATTGCCCAGTGCGACGTTATCGACTAAAATGTGCGTCACGCCTTTCCCCATACTCAGCGATATTTGGCCTCCGTGCGCCACCAACACCCTCTTCAGCTGTACACACTCAATCACTGCCTCTCCTAATACGGGCGCCCCTGAAATAAAGGTATTAGGGGGGCCTCCAGAAGAATAGCCTGAAGGGGGGCCCCCAGAAGAACAGCCTGAAGGGGGTCCCCCAGAAGAATAACCACCAGGGGGGCCCCTAGAAGAGCTGCCTGAAGGGGGGCCCCCTGAAGAAAGAATGCCTGAAGAAAGAACACCAGAGGGGCCCCCAGAAGGGCCCCCAGGGGGGCCCCCTTGGGGGCCCCCAACGGGGTTGGCCCCCGAGGGTACGGCGCAGCTTGGTGAGTCGCCACAGTATTGCGTGGAGATTAACTCAGGGCCTTCGAGGCGCTGGAGGCCGTCGATATAAAATGTTAAAGAAGAAAAGAGAGATGAAGGGCGTTCTAAGTACTTGTTCCACCAAGCAGCTTCCCCGCTGCTGCTGCTGCTGCTGCTGCTGTTGCTGCTGCTGCTGGTTCCGCGTGCTCGTTCAGAGGCAAGGGATCTCTGCAGCTGCTCCTGGACTTTGTTTGTCTTTGCTTGAATATACTCCCCCCAGCCATTCCAATTGCTTCCCCCAAACATCTGCTGCTCCTGCGCGCGCTCTGTAGCTGCAGCAATCAACAGCAGCAGCTGCGGCTGCAGCAAATGCTGCAGTAGCAATCAACAGCAGCAACTGCTACTGCAGCAAATGCTGCAGCAGCAGCAGCAGTTGCTGCTGCTGCTGCAGCTGTTAGAGGCAAGAGGCCGTTTACCCTCGTTGCAGTGTAAGCAGACGGAAGACACCTCTATGCAGCAGCACACACAGTCGGCGTTGCTGCAGTTGCTGCTACTGCTGCTGCTGTTGCTGCTGCTCCACTGAAGCAGCCAGGGGTTATTTCCACCCATTAATGCCTCAAAAAAAACACCTGGATTCGTTCAGAGGCGTATGTACACCGCAGCAGCAAAAATATTCGCCGTCTTAGATGTCTTAAGGAGGGCGCTTCCCTTGTTTCTATGTTATTTTTTCCTTTTAAAGTTTTCAATATACTTTGAAACAAAATAGTTAAATAATTACTTAAAATATTTTTCTTTTTTTTAGATACAGCGGGGCCCCCAGCGGAGGCTACAACGCGTGCGCCGCTGGCGGGCGGACGGGGGCCCAGGGAGTTAAGAAAAGATTGTATTTCTTTTGTTTTGTTTGTTTAAAGAAATAAATTAATATAATATTTGCTGTTTAATATGTTTTTTTAATTTAATTTGAAGCTTCTCAGCTCCTTCTTCAAAGATATTCGGGGGGCCCACTGGCGGGAGTAGGGGGCCCCAACGCCTCTTCCAGCTCTTAAGTGAGTCTTCTGCTGCAGCAGCAGCACCAAGCGAAGCAAAAGCAACATTATAAAACAAAACTCCCTGATAGAAGCAGCATCTGCACAGTTTGGCGCAGCTGAAACTGCAGCAAACGCCTCAACAACTGTTGCGGAAGTCCCTTGAATCGGGGAGAAACAGCAGCAGCAGCAGCAGCAGCAGCAGGCCCGGCAACAGCAGTAGCAGCACAAGCAGCAGCATAAGGGTGAGGAGCTGCACAGAATGGTAGCAGCTTCAGACTCCTTCCATGATCCGGAAGGGGGTGGGGGCCCCCACAAATTCAGGGGGGCCCCCATGCAGAAGGGGGCCCCTAAGCAGAAGGGGGCCCCCAGGCGTAAGGGGGCCCCCAAGCACAAGGGAGGCTTCCGTAAGAGAGAGGGGGGCCCCCCTCCTTTGAAGCTGCGGCAGCGAGAGAGACAAGAAATAGCAGAACTGCAGCAGCGGATTCTCCTCGAGATGCCGCCACCTGGGGGCAAGTGGCTGCCGCCTTCATTAGCAGCTATCCAACAGCAGCAGCAGCAGCAGCAGCAGAAGCAGCAGGAAGAAGGAACCAACACCACCACCACCGCCAGCAGCAGCAGCAGCAGCAGCAGCAGCAGCAGCAGCAAGGGTAGGAGTGGGGTGTTGAGTGATAAGGTGTTCTTGGATTTACCCTTATCAACATTAACTCAGCGCGGTTTGTCTGCATGCAATTATAAACAGCTAACAGATATACAGGCTGCTGTTATTCCCCACGCACTTGCAGGGAGAGATATTAAAGCACAAGCAAAGACAGGCAGCGGCAAAACACTCGCCTTCGTCATACCCGTCAGCCACTTCCTCCTGCTGCTCCTTCTGCTGCTGCTGCTAATGCTTCTGTTATTGCTGCTGCTGCTAATGCTGCTGCTGTTGCTTCTGCTAATGTTGCTGCTGATAGTGCTGCTGCTGCTGCTGCTGCTAATACTGCTGCTGTTGTTGCTGTTGCTATTGCTGCTACTGGTGCTGCTGCTGCCAATGCTGCTGTTTCTGCTGCTGCTGCTGCTGCTGCTGCTGCTGCTGCTGCAGATCCTGGAGAAGTTGTTTCTAGAGGAGATTAGCGGTCTTGACGGCACCGTCGCCATCGTCTTGGCCCCAACGCGCGAATTGGCTGTTCAAATATTCGATGTCTTCAGAGCAGTCGGACAGTAAGACCTGCTGCTGCTGTTGCTGTTGCTGCTGTTGCTACTGTTGCAGCTGCTGCTGTTGCTGTTATTGTTGTTTCTGTTGTTGTTGGTGTTGCTGTTGCTGCCGTACCTGCTGCTGCTGCTGCTGCTGTTGTTGCTGCTGCTGCTGTAGCTGCTGTTGCTGTTGGTGTACCTCCTGCTGCTGCTGCTGTTGCTGCTGCTGCTGCTGCAGGTACCACGAGATGTCAATTGGCTGTCTGATAGGAGGCAAAGACGTTGCAGCAGAAGCAGAAAGAATCGGGCAGCTAAATATAATTGTCGCCTCCCCTGGCCGTTTGCTGCAGCACATGGATGAATCTCCTTCGTGGGATGCAAGCAGGCTCTTGATCCTAGGTAATATAGCTTCTTGCTGCTGTTGCTGCTGCTGCTACTGGTGTTGCTGCTGGTGTTGTTGCTGCTGCTGGCTTTGTCGGTTTGTGGTTGCTGGCGCTGTTGCTGCTGCTGTTGCTGCTGCTGAGGCGGCTGCCGCCTCCTACGTGCAGCAGCAGCAGCATCATGAGTGTGGATCTCCAGCAAGAGTTGCTGCTGTCTGCTCTTGTTGTTTGCTCGGGTGCGGCACCTCAACTCTTTCTTGTTTTCTTTTTGTGTCTTTGTTCTGGGCCGGTTTAGCTGTCTCTCTTTGTTTTTATCTTCTTGTCTGCCTCCAAATGATTTTATCTCACTCTGTCTCTGTCTCTGTCTCTGGCTTTGTCTTAGTTTGTGCTGTCTCCTTATAGCAGCAACACCCATCTGTCTCTGCCTTTGTTTGTGTTTGCTGTGTCTCCTTACAGCAGCAACATTCATGTGTCTCTGTCTCTGTGTCTGTCGTTGTTTGTGATGTGTCTCTTTATAGCAGCAACATCCATCTTTCTCTGCCTGTGTTTGTGTTTGCTGTGTCTCTTTATAGCAGCAGCATTCATGTGTCTCTGTCTCTGTCTTTGTTTGCGTTTGCTGTGTCTCCTTTGTGCAGCAATAGACGAGGCAGATCGTCTGTTAGATTTAGGTTTCTTATCCACAATAAAGGCCATTGTCTCCTCTTTACCTTCTACTCGCCAGACTTTATTATTTTCTGCAACATTAAACAGTGCAGTGCAGCGGCTGGGGCTGCTGCTGTGCAGCAGCAAACCCGAAGCCATCTGTACAGACACCCCGCAGCAGCAGCAGCAGCAGCAGCTCCTCCTGAAGCAAACATACGTCGTTATACACCTCAAACATAAAACTTCTGCCCTCTTCTCTATCTTAAGAGCGCAATGCAAAAAGAAAATTCTTGTCTTTGTCTCTTCGTGCAAGCAAGCAAAGTTTATTCATGAGGCATTTAAACTCTTAAAGCCCGGTCAGTCTTAATACGGCTGCTGTTGCTGCTGCCGTTGCTGCTGCTGCTGTTGCTGCTGCTGCCGCTGTTGCTGCTGCTGCTGCTGCTGTTTCGTTGCTTCTGCTGCTGTTTCGTCTGCTGTTTCGTCTGCTGTTTTGCTGTTTCTGTTGCTGCTTCTGCTGCTGATTCTGCTGCTTCGGCTCCTGTTCTGCTGCTGTCTCTGCTCCTGTTCTGCTGCTGTCTCTGATCCAGTTCTGCTGCTCATTGGTTGAGTGTATGATGGGCATTCTCCTTGGAGGCTGTCTCCTTTCACCAGCGCAGCAGCAGCATCATCAGCAGCAGGCAGCAGCAAGTAGATCTGAGGGGGCGGAACAAATCCGCTGTTCTTTTGCCTTCTGTTTGTTTTGCGTTTAGATTGTTGCTGCTGCCGTCTCCGTATCTGTCTTCATATCTGCTGCTGTTCCGCTGCTGCTGTTGCTGCTGCGCTGCAGGCTTGTCTCTGCTGTACCTGCACGGGAGACAGAAGCAGCAGAAGAGGCTGGAGGTGTTTCAGGACTTTGTCTCTCGCACGTCTCCCTGCTGTCTGATAAGCACAGATCTGGCGGCTCGGGGGATCGACTTTGTGGTGCAGCCGGAGCGGCCCCGGGGACCCCACAAACGGGGATTGGGATCGGGATCGGGATCGGGGGCCGATGTGGGGTTGGCAGGCGACGGCTCTTCCGCTGTCGACCTTGTCGTGCAGTTCGACTGTCCAGCGTAGAGACGCACATACACCGCGTGGGGAGGACAGCACGATTGACACGCAAGGGCCAAGCGGTGCTGCTGCTGCTGCCTTCGGAGGTCTCCTTTCTCGAGCAGCTTCAGGCAAAAGGGGTTCGCTACGGACACCTGTATATACACCCCAAAAACATAAGCTGCATATACACCCCACGCAGCAGCAGAACGAAGCCCTCTCGCTCTGATTCGCCTGCTGCTGCTGCTGCTGCTATCATTCTCCAGTGCTGCAGCGGGGCAGCAGCTGAAGGCACAAGGCGCAGTGTTGCAATGAATTAATACAGAGTGTTTATTTGCTGTCTGTTGCAGCTGTCTCGTTCGGGTGAAGTGTCAGCGTTGCTGTGTAGCGCTTAAACCCTAAACCCTAAACCCTAAAGCCTCAACCCGATTTCTGCTGCATCTGTTCTGTCTTCTTCTCAGATGGTCCTCCACCGAACCAACATAAACCCCAAGCGAGCGATCCGCGTCGAAAGCAAACTTCAGGCTTTACTCGCTGCAGAGTACGTTACGCCTAGGGTTTAGGGTTTAGGGTTTAGGGTTTAGGGTTTAGGGTTTAGGATGTAGCAAGGGGTGCTTGCAGCCGGCAGCAGCTGAGCTAAGGATCCGCTGCTGCAGCTGATGAAGCAGTTGCCGCTGCTGTTTTGCTGCCTCTGCTTCTGCCGCTGCTGCTGCCTTTTCGCTTTTTGGCGTCTGTTTACATCGTCACCACTGCTGCGTCTGCTGCTGCTGCGTCTGCTGCTGCTGCTGCTGTTGCTGCTGCTTCTGCAGTGCTTCGCTAAAGGCTCTGGCCCAGAAGGCAGTATCTTCTTATCTGCGTTGTTTGTCTGTCATGACGAACAAGAAGGTCTTTAATTTAAAAGCTCTCGATCTGCAGCAACTCGCTATCTGCTACGGCCTCTCCATTGCGCCGTCCATAGAACACTTGACTGCAGCAGACGCCCAGCAGCAGCAACAGCAGCAGCAGCAGGGAGGGGAGGAAGAAGGCGCCAGTGAATTCAGTGGAGGGGCCGTTACTAGCGGAGAACACAAGAAAAAGAATATGTCCAAACTGGCACGACTTAAGGTACGCAGCAGCGGCAAACGGTGCTGCTGTTGCTGCTATTGCTGCTGCTATTGCTGCTGCTGCTGCTGCTATGTATTTGATTTGTTTTTAAATATACTTGTCTTCTTTTGCTGCTACTTCAACGTCTCAGGAGCAGATCCGTGCGAAGAAGCTGCTGAAGCAGCAGCAGCGAGAGCAGCAGCAGCGAGAGCAACAGCAACAGCAGCAGCAGACGCACACGCAGCCAGGGGAGGAGCAAGGACCCGGGACAAGCTCGAAACCCGGCAAGGACAAGGAGCAGCGTGCACTCAACAGCAGCAGCAGCAGCAGCAATGCGGAAGACCACGAGGGAGAAGACTTCTTGATGCTGAAGCAGCAAGACAGCGAGCCACCAGAAGAGAGCAGCAAAATTAGAAACCAGAAACTGCAGGAATTGCTGCTGACGAAACCCGGTAAGCAGGTTGCTGATGCTGCAGCTTGTCTTGCCGCTCTTGCTTCTCTTGCTTCTGCTTGCCTTGCTGCTCTTGCTTGCCGTGTTGCTGTATGTGTTGCTGCTGCATGTGCTGCTGCTGACTGTCTTGCTGCTTCTCGTTCTGGTGCTTGTGTTCTTGCTGCATCCTTTCGTCTTCTATACGTCTTTGTCTAATTGTTTGCATGTTTATACTCCTCATGGTTTGCATTTTCTATTTAGAGTGTTCATCCGCGGAGGCTGTCTGCTCTATGAAGTGTGCATACACCTCGTGTGCTGCTGCTGCTGTTGCGGCTGCTAATGCTACTGTTGCTATTGCTGCTGCTCCTGCTACTGTTGTTGTTGCTGCTGCTGCTGCTGCAGCATATCGGCGAGAGCGGCTGCAGTTTCGGGCTGATGGTACCGCCAAAGTGAAGGGCCTCGCGGCTGCTTCTCTCAACTCGCATATTATTTTTAGTGAAGGGGAGGAGACAGAAGGAGAGGAGGAGGATATACCAGCCCACCGACCCCCCACAACCAGCAGCAGCAACAGCAGCAGCAGCAGCAGCAACGGGAAGGTGACGCGAGAGCTGCGGGAGGCGTTTTTGCAGCAAATGCGAGCTAAGATGGAGTCTGTACACCTCAGCGATAAGGTGAGACTAGGAAGGGACAGGGGGAGAGATGCAGGAGATATAAAAGTAGGAAGAGAAGGGACAGCGAGATATGAACAGACATTGCAAGCACCGGGGCAGCCCCATTTGCATTCGCTACGCATGCGGGGTACACTTGGGGCTTGATCTGCATGTGGGGTATGAATAGATAAAGCAAAAGAAGTACTTTTGCATGCATGAAGGATATTCATATATTCATTCATCCATTCATTCATTCACTGTAACAAATACACCTAAGAATGTCTCGGGTGTTTCCACATCTTTATTTCCTTTCAGGCCAGAGACCGTGAGCGAGTTAAAGACAGCCACTTAAAAAAGAGAAGAAGAGAAAGAAAGGCGAGACAAGGCGAAGCAGCAGGTGAGGCTTGTGAAGGATACCTCGTCCAGTGCTGATCCTTCTGCTGCTGCTGTTGCTGCTGCTGTTGCTTCTTCTGCCGTTGCTGCTACTGCTTTTGTAGCTGCTTCTGCTGCTGCTGGCTGCATGCAACTCTGGTGTCTGCTGCTGTTGCTTTGTGCGGGTGCGCAGGGGGTGGGGTAACCTTGCTGGACGCTGAGAGTGAGAGCAACAGCAGCAGCAATGAGGATGCGTTGTCGGATAGCAGCGTAGGCCAAGACGAAGGCTTTGAAAAGTTGAATAGCAGCAAGCGCAGCGAAGAGAGAAGAAAAAAAGAGGGGAAGGCAATGAAGAAACAAAAGATAGAAACTCTATCGGTTACAGAGCTTGAAAAACTCGCTCTTGAGGGCGCAGCAGCCTTTTGATGTGCATTCACATGCATGCACTTGGCTTGCATGCAGCTTGCATGCGCAAGCAAGCAAGCAAGGTGCATGCAAGAGCATGCATCATGCATCCCTTCTTGTCTGCTGAGAGGGAAGGGTTCGGGGCAGGCGTTCTCTGTCTTGTTGAGATAAACAAAGCAATCTTCATTCTTTCTTAAGATGCCGCTGCAGTTTAAACAGACAGACGTAATTCAGTAAATGCACTACTTCTCTGCATATCTACCCGTAATAAGAAATTCAAGCAAAGAACAACTTCCTTGGAGCTGCATGCACCTGTTGCATGCAGCTGCTGCACTCTTGTATGCTACAGAAGTAAGCAAGATCCCTTATGCCGCACTGAGTTGTTTGGATTTGTTGCAGCAGGCAAATTCAGGATTAGAAAGGAAAACCTCTTCTACCCTACTACCGGCGCATTTATATTATATATATATATCTAGATATATATGTATATAAGCATATATGCATGCAATATATATATATATATATATATATATATGCACCATACATGCCTCTCTGAAGCTGTTCAGCAATCCCGTGGGCACTGTCAGCTGAGCTGCATGCAGAGCTGAGGGAGGTATGATGCTTCTTGTTAGTTAGTTGCTAAGCGTCGCTCCTCTCCTTTTGGAGATGAAGACTCTGTAATGAAGACTTTTGTTATTAAGAAGCTGCATTTTAAAGCAACTGTTTACAAAACAAAAACTGGTGTCAGTTAAAGCACGGAACTCCCGCTATGAGCGGAGGCTCAAGAGCTGCAAGTTACTCGTTTTATTCATATATTAGTTATTTTTAGGTGAAAATTGCCTATCTATTTACGAACAGCACTTCTGTTCAGCTACAGATTACTTGACATGCGTGGAACACACTCTACTGCAGCAACCCGGGGCGCAGCGTACGACTGCAATTGAGCTCTAGACTTATTTGGTTTAACTGATGCTCCTGACACTACATATTAACGGCTAAAAAGAAGTCTACTTAAAAATACGTCTAAATTGAGCTGTAAGAACAGCTCAAGGGAAAAAGCCCCACCAACATCGGATAGCGGCAGCCTGTCGGCTGCGGCGGTGTCTGCGGCGGCAGACGCCTCGCCAAGCTTTCCACTGAAAAAACATCCCTTTTTCGATGACAGCAAATAAATAAGTTAAGAATACTGCAACGAGAAGATATTCTTTGAAGTAAGCCTGGGATTATCGGCAGAACAACCCGCCTTCCGTTGCTTCCTCGTTTGCGTTTTGATGCCTACTTCCACCCCCCGGCTCTACTTGCACGGTTTGCAATTCGCAGGAACTTCTGCTTTTTGTGATTTGTATTTCCGTTAAACTTCTTTAAATGCGTTAATAGTAGAAATAAGATTGTTTTTCTGTTAAAAAATGCTGAGATTGTCGCTTGCCCTGCAGCCGTCTGCCGCTTTCAGGCCATCGTTTCTACGCCCAGCTTGCCGCGCTGCATCAGAGTTCAACTTCAAGGCTTACAATACTTTACGGGCTTTTTCTGCCTTTACAATGGCTCCGACTAGTGCGAGTGAAGTACCGAAATGGGTTGATGGGCTCGTAGAAGAGCACAAGATTACGGTGTTCTCAAAGAGGTGTGTTGTTCATCACCTGCTTGCAAGTTTGTTTGTTTTCGTCTGGCGAGATACATGGGGATTTTGATTGTTTCTCGTTTATTTTCAGTAAAGAATGAAGGGAATGGACTTTCGTTTGCTTCTTTTCTCCCTCTGTTTGCTCTCAAATTGTCCTCCCTGCAGCTACTGCCCATATTGCAAAGCAGCGATTTCAGCCCTCACGAGTCTCAACGTCAGCGACATGGTGAGGGAAAATATAAAATCAACAGATGAGTTTCAATTGAATTTGAATTCTCCCTCAACACAAAAGTAACTTGGGTTGTTGCTTATCGCTAACCTGGCGTGTGAGGAGGGGAAGTACGATGAATGCCTTATATTAACTGAGAAGATTATATATTTCGAATAGTCTACTGCTT